GTGGACGCGGCGCGAGTCGGTGGGTCAGTCCGCCCGCCGGCTTGCAGCTCTGGGCGTCCTCTGCGGGTTGAGAGCTGCGGCTGCTCCGGCTTTCTCTTTGCAACGAGGCTGGAGGGTGGGATTTTTTTTTTTTCCTTTTTGCGCGTGTGTGTATGTGTGTATGTGCGCAAAATATCTCCCAGGAATGAAAGATGGGCGCTGGCGGCCGGAGGGGAACCCTCAGGGAGGCAGCGGGGGAGGCCGCGGGCGCGCGGGGAGGCAGGCGGGCCGCTCCCGGCTGCAGGAGGAGAAGTTGCCACCCTTTCAGCTGTTCCGGCTTTTATAAAGGAGAAGGGAGAGTGGAGAGGTGGGTGGAGACAGCCTTTCCTCTTCTGGCCGGGAGTCAGCGCCAGGAGGGGGCTGGAGCTTGGGGAGGGCCTGGGGTGAAGGCGGGGCTCCTAGGGGTCTCTGATAACCGGGTAGCCCCTCTGCCCATGAATCTGGTCGGGGGGAAGAAGATCTAGGGGCGACGATCCCCTTCCCCCACCCTCAGCATAGGGACTGCTGACCCGTTAGGAGCCCACGTGGTTAGGGGTGTCTCCAGGGCCCCAGGCAGGAGCTCAAGCCCCCTCCGGGACCAGACTGAGCAGCCTGGCACCCGCATCGAGGATCCGGACTCAGGCTCTGCAGCCTGACAGCCTGGACTCAGATCTGCCCTGGCACTGAGCAGCTGGGTCACCTTGGGCAAGTCACTTCCCTCCTGTGCTCCCAATCTCTGCTCAAAGTGGGGACAGGGTTAGGGTTTGGATTAAATATCAGAAAGATCTGGAAGCACCCAGCTGAGCTCCAGCCACAGGGTAGCCCTGCAGACCCCACGGCCACTTGGCTGCGAACTGGGTCTGCGCATCCTCCTCTAGCTGCTGCCTGGCACACAGCGGCTCCGCCAGCTTGGGCGGAATTGGAATTTGTTGAACTGCAAAGTCACACGAACCCCACCACCCTGCCGCATCCTCCAGCTCCACCAGATCCAGCAGTCGCCCTGGTGTTGACTACCTCCCGCAGCCTGGTCCCAGCCCAGGGGCCTCCCGCCCACACCAGCACTCACACAGTTAACGCCCTCCACCCCCTGCGCAGGGAGTGCTGTGTCCCTGCCTTCAGCAGTCACACTGTCACAGTGACACAGTCACACTGACCAAGCCCAGCACACAGCCACAGGCCCACCGCATCTCATCCACTCGCACAGTCCTGTCACCTGTCCTTTGTACCCAGATGCGACCCCGGTGCCGGCTGCCGCTCACACCTGCACACACCGAGTCTGGCAGCTGCCTCTCTCTGGACCTGCACGGGGCGGGGCGAGCCTAGGGAGGAGTTCCAGAGGGGCCTCTTTACAGATGGCCACAGGCACCTGTCCTCCCTGAGGGCTGCCTGGCGGCCTGGTGCTGAGGCTGGGAGGTGACCCAGGGCAGGTGGCCAGGCTTCAAATCTTTAGTGTCCCCAGGAGGGTTGTTTAGCCCCAGGACCTCAAGTGTCTCCTCTGGGAGCTGGAGCTGTTCCTGAGGTGGAGGGAGGGAGGGATTTCAAAGAGGCCTGGTGGCATCTTGGGGTGGTGGCAGTCTGCGTCTTTGTGGTGATGGGTTCCTGGGTATGTACTTCTGTAGAACTGAGGCAGGCAGTCCTGTGTACCTCGGGACACTGTGCAGAGCGTTTGCCCAGCCCGAGGAGTGGTCTGGAGCTCAGATGCAATAGTCCCTGCTCACAGAGACCCTTACCCCGGGGGACCCCGTGCGGACAGGCGGACACATGCATAAGCAGATAAATTAGGGAGGCAAGGTCACAAGCAAGGGGGGAGGGTAATCCCTACACACTCGACTCGATGTTTAAAGATTTAGAGATTAAAAGACAATCTTGACCTTGACCTGTGTCCTCACCTAAAAATGAGAATAGCTACCATTACTGTTGAGCGGACCCTGTGGGGGGAGTGCTCCTCTGTCCATCTAGCTTCTCAGTGCTTCTGTGAAATTTTACTTCTGTGTTTCAGGTGGGGAAACTGAAGCACAGAGGGGCCAAGCAACTTGTTCAAGGTCACACAGCCAGTAAGTGACAGAGGCACAACCTGACCCAGGTGGACCAGCTACCAAGCCCCGTGCTTACCAACTAAGCCGAGCTGTTTCCTGGCAGGCGACGACGATGACCAAAACAGTGACACATTTTGCACGGGGCTCTTGTGAGCATCAAGTGCATTAACACATGTGACTGAGTGAAGCACTGAGAGATACAGTCAGGGAGGAGATCAGTCCTGGCGTTCGGGGACCTCCCTGTCCCTGAGTGAGAGAGAGAGAGTCCTCCACAATCCAGAAGTGGCAGGACAGGGACCAGCAGAGGCATTGGGAACCACCTGGCACCTGGACCTAAATGCCATTAGGAGCAGAACCCCTTTCCTGCACCTTCTCCTGGCAGACAGGTGGCTCCGGAAAGCACACATCTGCCTCTTCTTCGTGGCACCTCCTCCAGGAAGCCCTCAGGCCCAGTGCTTGCTCTGGGCTCCCCAGTATGTCCTGTCATGCCCCAGTGTCAGTCTAGCCCTAGACAGTTCAGGGTGAGCCAAGGTCACGGCTCCCTGCATGTAGTAGTTGCTCAACCAAGTGTTTACTGAAGGAACAAATAAATGAATAAACATCTTGCCTGTTTCTTTCTCTGAATCCTGGCCGGTTTGTAGCGTGAGACTTTAGCCTCAGAACCATGGGGACCTGTGGGCCCCCTCCCAGGAACACAGC